CATGAGTTCCTTGTTTTTCAATGCAGCATAGTATTCCATTGTGCGAATATACCACAGCTTCTCTACCCATTCTTTTGTTGATGGGCATTTAGGTTCCATATTTTTAAATATCCTCTGATGTTCTTTTCATTCCTTTTGCAAAAACTCCGTGATTCAGATGTCCAATGGGCACAGAAGGCAAAGCACCCTCCCCTCATGGCTAATTTCCATTCCCACTACACCCTCCTCCTACCTTTGAATAGTTTAAGTAAAAATTTCCATCACTGGCCTTTTATTAATTTCTTCAAATCCATTTTCATTTATGTAGAGCAACATGGAAAATGTAGGACGACTCAGGGGAGTACATGCTACTTTAAACAGAATATTAAGGGTCCAGCACGAGCTCCTTTATAAGCGCAGCTGTCGGAAAGGCTGCAATGCTCTGCGAATGACAGCTCCAAAAACGCCGGTTTGAGCGCACCCTTTTTCATAGTCGGGCTTTACCGAAGCAGTAAGAGATGTATTGCGCTCCTAAGCTTATCAAACGTGCACAGCAAAGAAGAAAGTAGGGAACAAAGCCAGTAGGAAAAAGGCAGCCCAGAAGCCTGGGGAGGACAAGAGACCGCGCCCTCATAGCAATGGCCCGGTGGGCTGCAGAAGCTGCGGCACCGCATTGCGAGGCGTGGGACCCACACACCGGCTACCGCCTGCGCCTCCTTCCACGCACTTCCCTCCACGCGCCTAGGGCGCAGTGCCCCGCAACCCAGCGCAGCCTGCAAACCGGGGAGGCAAAAAGGCGACCGCCAGCTCTGCAATCCCGGCCGACCCGGTACCGACGCCGCCGGGGAGCATCCTTTAGCCGGCAGGCGCGGCCGTGGGTTGCAGACAGCGCTTTCCCCGGGAGGCCCCCTCGCCCACCTCCGGCGCGCTCACCTGTCTGTGCGTCCATCGCGGAGTCGGCAGTGTTGGCCGTCAGTCTATCAGCCCCGAGGTAACGGGGCCAGGCGAACAAGGCGGTGCCGAGCCCGAGGCGAGCGCAGGGATCAACAGGCGGCTCGGGCCGGGTGCGGCGCAACGGCGCGGCCACAGCGGAGCAGGCTGGGAAGCGTAGTTTCCGGCGATGCGGTGCGGCGGCTCGGAGGCGGGAACCCCCAGCCTACCTCCCTGCAGCTCTGAGCTTCCAACCCACCCGCACTTCCCCTGCAGTTAGTCTCTCCTGGAATACGTGTAGGAACACTGTAACTATTCTGCAAGGAAGGCTGAGCCTCTGGTTTTGGAAAGAGCTTTGCAGGCTCTTTTGAGAAGCTGGGGGCTATGGATAGGGTGGGTGGTGAAGGCTTTTCAAGATTGTGAGGAGCGTTTGGGTGAGTGAGCATCTTTACGCGGAAGCCTTGTTAAAATGGGGCTCAGGTCTAGACCAGGCCTGCACCTGCAGCAATTTTACTGGCTTAATTTGGGCCTGGAGCTGGGCGTGAGATGGGGGTGGGCGCGGAAACAGGACTACCCGGTTAGACTATTGGGGTCACGGGAGTAAACTAGATTGAGTTTGGTCGTGAGGAGTTAAAGTGGTGGGGCTGAGGGTATCAGCGTGCCCATGCCAAAGGTATCACTAGCTCTTAGGCTGGACAATTATGCACCTTTGCTGTTTCGTATGGCAAAAAAGGCTTCAAGCTGGAAGACATATTGTGAGGATTAAACAACCCTCAGTGTAAGTGTAAGCACTTGGGACTGTTTTTGGTGTTTAGATACTCATTCAAGGCTACTTCCTTGGAAATTGCTAAGGATTTCTAGGGCACACTTTTGAGAAGCTCTGAGTTAAATACTGCTAGGCCTAGTAGGGTGAATTGATGTTAAAACCCACCCAGTTTACTACTCTTAGCCTGTTTTGCCAGTTCACTGCAGCACTGAATATGAAATGCCAGGGTTTTGGAGCTTCCAAAGTAATGAATTACTGTTTTATCTCTGGAACTTGAAGTGGGGTGGGATAGCATAGGACAAAGACCAAAATTACTAAAATACGTGGCAAAATAGTTATCTTCCAGGAAGTTTTTCTAATTGATGTATAGATTTTTTTTTTCTAATTGATATAGTTTCTAATACAGTTTTTCTAATTGATGCATATATTTAAGTAACCCTTGCTTATTGCCCTTATCTTGACAAAGTCATGTTGAGTTTTCTAAACCATTACTCGTAAAGTTGTAACGGGAAGAGAATTGCCATCTCTGCCTGGACTAAGGATGAATGAAGGTTAAGTAAATCAGGCATGGGGTGTACAGTACAAAAAAAAAAACCAAACAAAATAAAAACCACCCAAAAACGCTGCAGAGGAAATTCATTATTTAAAATTTATACCACTTTGCATGTGTGGAATACTTCTCTACTCAGTTTCTCATTTGATTTTTATAACTGTGGAGTGCACAGAGTGGGGATTTATATTCATTTAGAGATTTTAGAGACAGGAGTGTGTGTTGTTCAAGGTCACGCAGCTGGTTATTAAGCCCATCTTCCCTCCTACCGTGGGTACTCAGCCAAAGAGACACAATCTGCACTGTACTTTAGACGCATCAGAACAGGATGGGACCTTCTCCAGGATCGATGCTAAATCAGAAAATAAAATTAAAGCCCTTCAAATTAGCATAATAAATAATACCAGACAGTGGTTGCTGTAAGAAGACAGCATGGGTTTTTCCTAAGGCAGTGTGTTTTTAACTATTAAATCTAGTAGTGGAATGCCCCAGAGGACTTCTCACCACCATGACGAATCTGAGCTGGAAAGAGTTAAATGATGCAGATAAACAACAAAAACCACTCACCAGCAAATCCTGTGCCATCCAGTGAATTCCCACTCACAGAGATCTTGTGGGACAGATGAGAGCTGCTCATAAGATATCAAAGGCTCTAACAGATTCATCTTCCAAACAATGACTTTGAATCACTGACCTAAAATTTTTGTAGCCAAATGTTTTAACGACTGCACAACCAGAGCTCCTTAAAATTGATCAAACCATTTTAAATCTCACTAATTGCTGTGGAGTTAGAACCAACACATAGCTGACCCTCAAGCAAGTGACTGAGGTTTTAAATCAATAACGAAGAAACTGCCCACCTTTTTTTCCTTGGAACAGCTGGTGGGTTCAAACTGCCCAAGAGGTGGAGCCTTTGAGTTAGCCTCATACCTCCTAACTATACTACCAAAACTCCCCTCAATTGAAATTTTTCCCGAAATTCCCTGTGCATTTGTTATTCTAAGCACCTCATTTAATAGGTGGGACTCTTTTTTCCTTATTTACACTGTGCATTTGTTGCAAGCCATAGTCTTTGTTTGAAAATCATAGCAGTCTGCTTCTGTAAGGTTTATAGCCCTGGAAACCTATGGAACATTTCCACTCTGGCTTATTGGGCCAGTATGAATCCACTCAATGTCGGCTTGATTATAACCTTCTGTTTAAGAAAAATAAGGAGCCCTAGCATGAGACAATTAACTGGAAAAAGTTGGCAGTTTAAACCCATCAGCTGCTTTGGAAAGGAACAATGTGGAAGTCTGCTTCCATAAAGGTTTACAGCCTCAGAAGTCCTATGGGCAGTACTGCTTTGTCCTGGACAGTACTGCTTTGTCCTATAGGGTAATTGTGGATTAGAGTCAACTCATCAGCTGTGGGCTTGGATAATAAAAATGAACTGTTTAAAGAGTTGCTAATAGTGCAGACAAGTTAAACACTTGGCTACTAACTAGTGATTGAAAACGGTGACCTTGCTGACAGAAATGAGGCCCAGCATCACATAATATAATTTTATGTGACTAATGATTTTTTAATTGCAAATATCTTCTCTAAAAGGCATCAACAATGATTGTGCATATGGACCTTGCCAGGTAGAATATGCAGGTATTGAATAAACTACATCTTTGGAAAGCTCAATATCATCAGAGCAAAGTTGATATTTTATTGGCTAGGTAAAGACACTCAACTGTGGATCATAATAAAATGTAAGCAATGTAGAGAAAAATGGGAATTTCAGAACACCTAATTGTGTTCATGTAGAGGAGGTGGTGGAACTGGAGACATTTTTGCCAATGTCAGATGGATCTTGGCAGAAAGCAAAGAGTACCAGAGAAATGTCTATTTGTGTTTCATTGACTATGCAAGGACATTTGACTGTGTGGATCACAACAGATTGTGGCTAACTTTTAGAAGAGTGAGAATCCCAGAACATTTGATCGTGCTTATGCAAAACCTATACTCGGACCAAGGAGTAGTCCTACAGAACAGAGCAAGGAAACACTGCATGGATGAAAATCAGGAAAGGAGTATATCAAGGATGCATAATGTCTCCATACCTTTTCAATGTATGTGCAAAACATATCATTCCAGAGGCTGGATTTTATGAGGAAGAGTGTGACATCAGGATTAGGAAAAAAGACTTATCAACATTCTGTGATATGCAGATGATACAATTCTGCTTGCTGAAACTAAGGAGGATTTGAAGCACTTGCTGCAGAAAGTCAAGGACTGAAGTCTTCAATATAGATTGAAGCTCAACATCAAGAAGACAAAGATTCTGACCACTGGACCAATTGGAAGCACCATGATATATGGAGAAGAGATTGAGATTGTTAACAATTTTAGCTTGCTTGGCTCCACAATCAATACTCTTGGCACCAGCAGTCAGGAAATCAAAAGAGGAATTGCACTAAGAAAATCTGCAGTCACGGACCTCTCCAGAGTACTGAGAAGCAAAAATATCAGTCTAAAGACTAAGGGGCACCTGATTCAGGCCATAGTCTTCACAATTACTTGTTATGCATCAGAGAGCTGGACAATGGCTAAGGATGATGTCTTTGAGTTGTGTTGCTAGAGAAGACTCTTGAATATACCATGGACCACCAAGAGAACAAACATGTCTGCTTTGGAAAGGGTGAAACCAAGTTTCTCCTTGGAGGCTAGGATTTTGAAGCCTGTTTTATATACTTTGGGCATGTGGCTATGTGGGACCAGTCCTTAGAGAAGGACAACATGTTCAGAAGGGTAGAGGGAGAGCACAGGAGAGGAAGACCCCAGATGAGATGGGTTGACACAATAAGTAGGACAATGGCGGTAGATGTGTTGGAGTCAGTGAGACTGGCTTAAGACAGGGCAGGCTTCAGAGCTGTTGTACTTAGGGTTTTATGAGTTGCAGGTGACTCGACAGCACTTAACAACACAATAGTACAACCTGTACATGGACCAAGAAGGAGTCCTTCATGGTTTTAAATCCAGAAAGGTTTGTGTCAGAGTTGCATCCTTTCACCATGACTATTCAGTCTGTAGGAAGCATTAGTGATATAGTCTATAGGAGGTTCTGCTGCTAACTAAAGGTTGTGTCTCTCTGTTGTCCCATTCCATCAGTAGCTCCTTAGGAGAAGGATAGGCAGTCTTTTCCCTTATGATTTCCAGCATTGGAAACCCAATGGAAGGCCAGCTTTGAGTTGGTTCTGACCCAATAGCAATGAGTGAGTAAGTGATTCAAGCTGAATGCTGAGCAGTTAATCTGAGAAGTTGGACTGTATGAAGAAGAATATAGTATTAAGAGTGGAGGAAAACTTATCAACTATCTGTGATACACAGATGACACAACCTTGCTTGCAGAAAATAAAGAATGCCTGAAGCACTTATTAATGAAGCTCAAAGACTATAGCTTTCAGTATGGATTACACTTCAATAGCAATAATAAAAAATTTTTGCAACTGTATCCATAACATATCATGATAAAGAGAGAAAAGATTGAAATTGTTGAGGATTTGTTTTACTAAAGCCCCCAATCAACAACCACTGAAGCAGCAGTCAAGAAATAAAATTGCATATAGCAGTGAGCAAGTCTGCCAAGGACTTCTTTTTAAAAAGTGTGAAGAGCAGGGATGTCAGTTTAAAGACTAAGGTGTACCTGACCCAAGTCATGGTATTTTCAGTTGCTTCATATGCATGTGAAAGTTGAACAATGAATAAGGAAGACTAAAGAAGAATTGATGT